CCCACCCTGTATAATACTAATAGTAGTCGACATGACAGCTTAGTAATCGATAAGCTCCATTTTATAATTATAACAAAGCTACTGTGCATTATCTTGAACGCTACGAATTTATATTAAAATCGTGTACATTAACAATAAAAATGTTAATAAAAGAATTTAACGGGACGTTCATTACGGCGTTTATTAAAATATATATCTCGAGATAATTGTAGGACTTCTTTAATCAGGACGAAGAAAGGAGCAATTAAAGATATTAATTGCGAAGATTGATATCAAGGCAGAAATTCAGGCGAATCAAATTTAAACGTAATTGGCGCAATTTCGTCTAGAGAGAAGGTCTTATTACTGAAATATACCACGTAATTGAGGCGAACATTATTTAAGAATTCGCTGTTCCAATCTTATTCGACAGGCATTAATAAATTCATCGTTAAACAATTTCTACGTTTTTTCTTATCGATAAAATTGACAAAGAAATATATTTACAGTAAATCATATATCTCTTTAATTCGATGCGTCTGCACCTATAAATGACACAAATTGACATTTCTAACAATTTCAGCTGTCTCGGTCGACACACATTTACATTCATTTCAAAAAGAAAATAATGTTTTCATGAAACAACAATAGCCATTTCAATCATTATATTTTAAACGGTCATGTTACATGTCCAATCAGGCTATTTTAAAATAAGAATGACTGCGCTTAAAATTTCAAGCGCATAAACGTCATTCAACGGTCAAATATATAAGTTACAAAACATGACATATGTTAATAACAATTTGAAAAACCTCTGGTTCAGTGATACCAATTTAATTAGGTCATTCGTCCGACGAGAAGTTAACCATTCCTCACTGTTGATTCAACGCCATATTTCTGGAATGTAATCGAAGCAACTAAAAGAAAGAAATTGTTTCTTTACCCGTTTAAATCTCTCGAGACTTCACACTGCTACCTCCTGTGTATCCCATGCGGTTTCGTTTGCGAAAACGAACGTCTTCGATGCATTATCCTTTCATATAATATCGGCAAAAGTTGTCCGTCCTACGATTTTAGTAGCGTGTTTTTATTTATAAAAAATATACTGCAAAGATATAAAAAGGTACTGCAAATATACAACGTTAATAATGTAAATTCATCAATATAGTAAACAGAAAATGGTTGACATATTTTTAAATAATAAAGAATACGCTATAATTTCATATTTAACCCTTTCATGAGTTTAAATTTTCTAGTTGGGACAAGATTTTTTTTCAGTAAATGCACATTAAATTCACTGAATCTTCTTAAGTCTTATAAGTGGAACTTTTTGTGTTTCAATAGTCATGAAAGAGTTAAGATCCAAGGCTCATTCCTGTAAACACAAAGATAAAGATTTTGTGGAGCGCAATAATCAGTGAACCAGCTTGCAGTTTAAAGAGTTTATTATAAATCTCATAAGGGTTTCTATGTACACTCTTAGGTATGCTTCTAACGTCTCTACTAATCGAAGTATAAAAGTATGTCCTAACGATTATTCGTTTAGTCCTGAATAATTATTCATCTACGTTACGTGTTTTGCATCGACAAGAAAATCAGCCAGTAATATATAAATCGCTTTCGTCGAAAGGTATAATGTACAATTTTTAGCAATTAATAACTATCCTCGACAGATCTAAACGAATAGATCGACTGACACTGGAAAATCACTTTGGTCGAATTACTTTCCTGGTCTCTAATCCTCATTTATCATATGATGGAAGGTCGTGATATTTCTAGCTTGATATATGTATCTGTTCCAACAAAGATTTAATATAAAGGCAACGTAATATCATCCTTAATGGACGACATCAGAATATACTTAAATCTATGGCAAATGAAGAGGTCATGAATCAATAAATGTGACAAAGTCGCATTGTGAGTCGAAATGAGATTTTTTTCCAAAGATATACATTTTCTCTTCGTCTTTCCTTGTTCTGCTCTTAAGATACTAGGTCATAACGTACTGTTTCGCGTCTACATCTTCAATTTTTACAGTTGCAATAGATGGTAATATTTCTTCGATAAAGATGAGTATTCTCATACTCATAAGAATAAGTTACATGAATTACCACGTTCTCTTTAAAAATATATAAAATAGGTCTATATATCAATTACAAAATTATACACTTAGCATTACAAAAAATGCAATTGTTGAATCTTTTATAAGCATATGTGTTATGGATTGTTTATAATAATCAACAATATCTCATTCACGATGAAACAGATAAAAAGCTATTGATATTATAAGTGCAATAGTAACGTTGCAACTTACTGGTTGTAGCAACTGGTAGTAACAACTTTCTATAGATAACTAGAAAAGATATATAATTAATTTCGTATCATAACTTTCAGAAATTTGCCGGTGACGACGCAATTTGCGTAGAACACAACATATTTTTAATCACTGTGAAATTCAACGAATTAAAAATTACAAATATCAATATTCTATTTCGTTATTAAGAAGTAAACACGGTGAGATATGTATTTGTAATGTTACATAATATGAATGTTACATCATATGGATAAGTGTCGCATATGAATTGTCTATGATAGTAGTTATTAGATAACATATGCATAAAATGATATCAAAGAAACTATTCCCAAATAAACATACTGTTAGCTTAATATCGTGCTGCATTACGAAACTATTTTTATTTAGAATGATGAAAAGAAAAGCTACTTATTATGATCTATCTAAAGAACGGTATGAAAGATAATCGTAGGTCGCAAATTGGGAGACGTGTACCAAAATTAAACACATATTACACTTCTGTACACGGGAGGCTTAGTTATTTTATATCATACTGTATTAAATGTTGGTACATTTCACCGAATCAAGTCTTTTATTCGTAAAATAGTCATGTGAAAAGTTAATGAAATTGTACTCTTCGCCGTTATATAATTTACTCTTTCCTTTCTATATATTTTATCCCAAAATTGACATCGAAAAATTATGCACCACAACAATTGTAGCAATGTACATGGTAGAAATTGAATTCTCCTAATTTAAGTGTTGAAAATCTACATTACATCCCAACGTTGACAAGGTGTTCCGAAAGTTATAGAATAAATATGTCTCTCTGTTTGAGAAAATTTTGGGAACAACCAAACAAAGGTACAAATACTTTTGATTGATTAATTAGAAAAGAAACTACCTACTAATAAAAAATGAAAGCAATACTTGTGTGAATTCTACTTCCTTGAAAATATGAAAATTTGTTCGCTTTTTTCCCGCATAATGACACACTGTCATAATAGTTTACATGATGACACACCATTTTTTTGTACTCTCAGTTGGTATTTCAGCCGTCATTTTATTGTCATCATTCTTCATCCCGCTAATATCTAACTTGGTAGATTCGAACTTACAAGGTGCGGCTTTCGGCGTGGATACCTGCATACTAGGTAAGCGCAAACCTTTCAGTAGATTCATAGATGTACTTAGTATACTACTACTACTCTCTCCGTCCGTTTTCTTCTTTTTCGCCGAGCTCGCATTTTCCGTCTCAACTTTACGTTTTCTGTCCAATGGACTGCCGTTCGTAGAGAAACTGTCGGATAGTAAACCATAATGTAATTTCAATTCTGTTCCTTCTTCCTGCGGCATAGACATAGTCGATGTATTCACGAAAAGAGAACTGTTGGGCGATATCCTTCTGTCGCGCAAAGTAACGTGACGCATTCTGCCGATAGAATGCCTTCCCGAGATGTTTCTCAGCGTCTTCCCAAACGACAGGTCTTTTAACAGTTGACTCGACATATCTTCCGTGTTGCTTACGTCGTAGAGCTTCGAATTATCTTTCAGACAATCGTTGAGTCTGATTTGGACATCTTTTAGCATAATGGACGAATCGTAGGAAACGAATAATGCATCATCCGCAGCGTCGTTGATCATTTCTTTGTCCTTCTGCAAGTCGCTCTGTGTAACTGATTCCGACGTTCCCGACGTTACGGATATTTCCGACGTTGTGGATTCAACAATGTCGACCGAGTAACTCTCGCTATCGGTTTGGGCTTCGCTCTGCATCTCCTCCTTTTCATTTATACCGTTCTTCAACTCCTCCAATTCTTCTCCCTTATCATTGTCCTTTGGTTGCTTATCGTCTAACTTCTCCCCTCCATTATTTATAGGACTTGGTTCGGGTTCGAATGTTAATTTAATGTCATTTGCGTCTTGCTCCTCCACCTCTTTGGTTTCAGCGTAAACGTTTCCTAATAAGACTCCCTCTTTTTCCCGGGAGACAGTTTTGCTCTCGATAAATATTACTTCCTCGGTGATGTTCACATCGGGTTGAAGTTCGCTTGACATCTGTTCGAAGGAATGCTCGACATATTCTCTGCTCACAGCAGATTTCTCAGCTTCAACAGGTCTGTTGTTACTGTTCTCCTCCGTAACATTTTCTTTCTGAATTGAAACGTTCAATTTGACCTCGGCCTCTTCCGGTTCCGGCTGCATGTCTGCACCTTTGATTTCTGGATTTTTCATTAGGACTTTTAATTGCTTTATCGTTTGATGCGGTTCAAGTTTCGCTGGAGGGCGAAGTTTGCTCTATAACATACATTATTTTCACATTGCAAAGACCTATGGCAATGCAAAAAGAACTTAAGAAATAATTTAAAGTTATAGACCACTGGCGTGAGTCATTTCTGCGCTTCAATCAATTTGCAATCATTTTGTGGGCTATGTTCAACTCTAATATTCTTATTTATGCATAAAATTTTGTTACAATTTTAAGTATATTAAATCCGAAAATACAAACAAACATGTATGACCAACAATTTTGTTTATAAAACTGGCGAATCAAAATCAAATTGTTATCAAACATTAGTAAAGAAACTTAACATACATAAAATATTTTCGTTTACATAAAAATATATTAAATATATTAAATATATTTATCTTTATATAAATAATAAGATTGCAGATATAAAATTGTTATAATGGATAACGTGTAATATTCTTTACAAATTATTTGATTTGGTTTAACCAAGAAAATAAAAAGAATCAACTTGTAAACATACATTACATAATTTACACCAAAACCATTATAATACACATAATAATATCAGTATAAATTCATACTGATAAGCCCGTACCTAATCTATTAAATCCTTATCATTATCTTAATAGTAAGTTCAATAGGAGTTCTTAGTAGATATCAGTGTTATTTCTAGAAAAAATTACTTGATATTGTCCAAACGGAACAAAAATATTTAATATTGCAGAGAGCGTGACACACAAAATGTGATATAATCCCAATAAATACGAATGCATTATAACACAATTTCTAAATAATTAATTAATATTTCTATGTCACGATCAAAATAATCGTATATTTGATCAAAATAATCGTATATCGTTTCAGATCACAATAGTTCCCGAATATATCTAAAGGTCTGTGTCCACGATGCTAGAACTTGGTCTATAAAAGCTTTTATGGAATAGCTGCAAGTTGACTGGCTACACATTTGTCGAAACTAGAACTTGGACCAAGTTCTAGCATCGTGTGCACAGACCAGTAGTAAATTAAGGAATTAAGAGACAGGTCCATATTCTGAATTGTCTTTTATCGCTAAAAGTGCCACCGAAATTGGTTACGAATGATTCTTGTCGGTTGCAAGCATCCTTTACGGGCACCGTTGTCGATAGAAAGAGGGATTCAGAATATGGAATCTCTCTTTCCATAGAAATCGCAAGAATGTACCTTAAAATTCTTTCCCGGCCCAGGCAATACCTTCTTCTGTATCCCAGTCAGCTTCGGCCTACAACAGAAATAAGACATTCACAATCAATGAAGAGATAAGCCATATTGCGAATGGCCTTTGAGCAAGAAATGCTGGAGGTGACGAGAGGAACAAATTGAAAAGTATGTAAAAGAAGGTGAACCAAAGTTTCTCATGTCCCCAAGAACGAAAATACCCCGTTTACTTTTCTCACATGCATCTCTGTAAAGCCTTGCGTCCACGATTCAAGAACTGTGGTCCAGGTTCTAGTTCCAAGCAATGTGCAACCAATCAACCTGTATCTTTTCTGGCAAAGCTGCAAGTTGATTGGCTACGCATTTCTTGGAACTAGAGCTTGGACACAGTTCTTGGATCGTGGACACGAGGCTTAAAGGCCTGTGTCCACGACGCTAGAACTTGGTCCAAGTTCTAGCATCGTGGACACAGGCCCTGACACTCCCCACGCAAGACAAGTCCGAAACCATTGGTCGTCTCGCTCATCAATCCATTTCATCTCAAAGTATCTTACTCGCGGCTCTTGTTTCGACATTCTGAATATCGGTCCTTTGTCTCAAGTTCCGCGAAGCTTATGACGCGATTGTAAATTGCTGCAGAGATAGGGGCAAAGCGCAAAGCAACGTATCAGATTACAAGTAAGCGTAAACGTAGATTAGTGCACAAGCTTTGGCGTACGTTGATACTTGCCTCCAATTACATGTGACGCTACATTTGCGTCGAAGCTCGTGCGCTAATCTACATCTTCGTCGTAAACTATTACGTTGCTTCGTGCTGCGACCGGGACACTTGAGAGACGCCACGAGATGATCTCGAGACGATCTCCCAGCTCTCTGGCAAACGTTACAGAAAGACAAAGCTCCGACACCCCGTGAACTACAGCGGCAGGCAACTAACAAGTTCCAAGTGTTGCATTCACAAAATACGCCAGTACGCAAACGCAATTTACCATAATCCCGCGACTCCGCTCCCAGGAAGGTCCCCGAGGGGGGGCGGGAGGGAGAGGGGGAAGCCGACCAGGTCACGAGTCCCGGGAAGAGAGAGAGGTGTGTACAAGCGACTGAGAAACTCTGGGCGGAACTTGCAATTCGCTGTTGCTGATTGTTTCTACAAACCTTTTCGAGATCTCGGACTCGCGCTGTCTCTCGGGCAAGCTAGATTCAGAAGCTCTCGACGGCGCGGTCGTTGCCTTGAGCCTCCGAACGTACAAATTCCTCTCGTCGCCCCCAGGGGCCGCCCTCTTTGGCGTCTTACCCATGGCCACGACAGCGATTAGCGGCGCGGTGCCTATTAGTTGCGCCTGATCAGACTCCACGCCCTTTTTTTCCTCTCTTTCTTTCGTATATATATATATTTCTTTTTTCGCCTTATCCGACCTTGCGAACGCAACAAGCCCGCGCGAGGTCCCCCACTTACAGCGATAAGCTACCTCGCTTCTCTCGCGCTCTCTCACACATACATCCGCACTCGCTCTCTCACTCTCTCTCTCTCTCTCTCTCTCTCACTCGCTCTCTCGCTAGCTCGTCTCGCCGCCTCTCACCTCCTCCGCTCAAATATTAATAGTCGCCCTTTCTTACTCTCGTCGCGGCCGATTACTCGCGACTCGTGGACCTCGCCGTACGAGTGCGGGGCGCCGGTATCTCGGTGCACGAGAGCGGGACGAGCGGCTCCGTCGAGTTCAATCGTTCACGTACGCACTACGCAGGCAGGACGCCATACAACCGCTCCGCCGCACGGGAGATGGCACGGATGCGGGACGCGCGCGCGCGCGCAGGCGCGGGACGCGCGGCCGGCCGCTTTCGCGGACGCCTCGGGGGAGACAAAAAATTGGCGCGCGCGACGCACGGCGATGCGCCTCTCGGGCGACCACGCGCGGGATTTCTCGGGACGCGAGCGCGAACGGGCGACGCGACTCGATCGAGAAGATGGCGAAATCGCGGAACGGACTGGACGCGAACTGACCGCGAACCGCGAGCGACTACGAACGCGCGTGCTTTTGTGTGCGCGCCCTCGCGTACGTGAGTTGAAGCACGCATGCGCACACCGGCTCGTCCACGCCGCTTACCCGCTCCTTCGTGTGCGCGCGCGCGCGCGCCGGAAGTTGGCGGCGCGGCACTCGCCATATTGCTTTTCTTTCGCGCGCGTCCGCGTACGAATTAGGGGGTCGATTCTGGAATTCGTTTGAAAAGGAGAAACGTACGCGAAAATTCTGCACTTGGAGAAAAGTTGCAGGCTGACTTGAAGCGGAACGCCGACCGGGTGACTTTTTTTCTTTAGAAAACGGAACCGCGAAAATTGATAGCGATTCCGCACTCTTGTTCCCTTCTCCGTTGCTTCTTTTCGTCAGAAACGTGATCGGCGCACAGAGAATCGGCATCTGTAGCCGCGAGATTCGTTGGGACACGCGTCTCTTTCTCTCTCTTTCTCTCTAGTCTATAGACTAGCGGGAGACTCACCTGGAGATTTGCGACGACGCTGGATGCGTTCTTGCTCTGCGCCCTGGAGCGGAGACGATCGGCTCGGAAAAGCGCGACAACGGCGGTCACGCTATTACGCTCATGCGAGATTCACTTCTGCGGACGGTAAAAATCGCGGAAACTACGGCATGATTCGAACGCGACGCAGTGACCTCGTCCCGCCATCGACGAAGCGACTGACAGAGAGAGGCTTTACCAGCCCGAAATAGAGTCCCTGTAGTAAGAGCACAGTATAACCAGTAGTTGCACTCTCTGTCGGCACCTTTGATCTGGGCGTTCTCAATTTTCCGCCATGTTTTTATTCGCGCCAACAGTGTATCAACGGCTAAAAGTGCCTGGGCCCTTTTCAGGATCGTATCCAGCAAAGGCACATACGAACTGGCATACATTATTTATTGTAAATGGAAATGGCATATGAAAGAAAATGTTCTAATAAAAGTAATTAATGTAATTACTTGCTCCAACGTATAAAAGTATTTACCCATTATTCGTCAACACTGCGAATTTTTCAATGTCACACCGACTTTGCACCAACACACGTACAAAAATCCTGTGATTGGTCAGAATAAAAACATGTCGGATGCGCAGTACGGATCGGCGCGAACGTGAAACAAAAGAGCGAGTGCCACTACTGGTTATACTGTGGTAAGAGTCTGGCAAGGGTTGACGCAAAATGGCGTCTGGTCCGAAGGTAACCAATTAATAATAATAATAATCCCGCGTTCAGAGTACAGATTCGAGACACCTTATTGGTTCCGCCATTGGTTCCGCCAAACCAATCAAACGGAGAATATTTCTTGCCAGACTCTTAAGCCCGTATCAGACTACGGATTGGGATTGGGATTAGATTGAAATTTGACCAATCAGAGTAAAAGTTACTGAACTTGGGATTAGTAAACTTTAAGCCTATCACACAATGCGAGGCAACAGGCAACAGGAATAGGGAATAGAATTTTTGACGCGTTGGATTGGTTGAAGGAAAATTTCCGACGAATCCAACCCGTCAAAAAATCTATTCCCTATTCCTATTGCCTGTTGCCTCGCATTGTGTGATAGGCTTTACTGTGATTGGTTAAATTTCAATCTAATCCCAATCCCAATCCGTAGTCTGATACGGGCTTCAGGACCAGTTTCACAAACGTCGTTTAACCGCTAACCCGTGGTTAATTGATCCTCTGTCTCTTCTTGGATAACAAGGGGAGCTTTCCAGCAAGCGACACAAGTCGACACAAATGTCGTTCTGTCTTTCTTCGCGTTCAATGAATAATAAAGACAGAACGACATTTGTGTCGACTCGTACCGCTTGCTGGAAAGCTCCCAAGATAGAGAAAGATTGGAAGTCGACTGAACTCTGGTTAACAGTTAACCGACGTTTGTGAAACTGGACCTTACTACAGGGGGTGCTTTCGCGACGTAGATCAAAATGATCCGTGCTATGATTGGTCAAATCTGAAATTTCGTAGCATCACATTGAAATTTTATTCAATGAAATTCCAGATTTGACCAATCATAGCACGGATCATTTTGATCCGGATCATTTTGATCTACGTCGCGAAAGCACCCAGGGACTCTAGCCCGAAACTGTTTCGGATTCGTCGATAACCAGCGACGTTACCGACCGTCGCGCCGCGCAGGCGCAGGCGCGCGGATCGTGGCGCGCCGCTCGGGTTTCCCCATCTATGAGACGCAGCAAATCCTCGGCGGGGCGTCCGGATGACTCGGGGGATGACGTTAGTTAGTTCGCGCGCGTGAATGGCCTTTATTTCGGCGGTGCCGCTGCTTCCTCGGTCGAGTGCGCTGTGACTCCTCCATCCACGTGTTAACAGTCCGTACGAACACTTACCGCGGAACGGTATGGCCCGATCGAGAGTCGTCATGGGCGCGATTTCGTGGCTGCTTCTGCTCGCCGGCGCCCTGGAGTCCCTCGCCCTGGACGATTTCTTGGAGAACACGCACGATTGGAACACGAAGGACTACATGAAGCGAGAACACTCTCTCTTCAGGCCGTATCAAGGTTCGCGCCGATTCTATCCTTTGTCTTCCTATCCGTCGCGTCGACCGTGCGGGAGTCGCTCCAGTATTCGCTCCAGTATTCGCTCCTATTCGTTTATCGTCTAATCGCCATCTCCGCGAGTTTGAGGTTACGAGGCGACTGATTAACGCGCGGAATTATCTCTTGTTATCCTCTGGAGCTGTTAACGAGACAAACGCCCACGTTTCTTCGCGGCCATATCGCGGAATCGGTAAATACCCGTAGGTCACGGGGCCGATTGTTTTTTCTCCTTCGAAAGAAACGCGGCGAGCTTGTCGTATCTTTTGAAATTATGGATTTCCTCCGGGGAATCTCGTTGCGCGCCAGCGCGAAAGGATTTGCTGCTGGTTCATTTATTATCTAATCGCAATCCGCCAGCCAGTCCACTACGGGCTTACGACTTGGGTAAATTGAGGCTGATTAATGCGAACAATTTATTTTCCATAGATTGCAGCGTCAACGAAAGAGACCACATGTTCCACAGCTGTGTCGCGAGATCGATAAATGTACAGAGGCTAATGAATTATTCTTGTGAAAACGGCGATTTTTATTATCTTTTTTAATTACAGATCCCCCCCCCCCCCTTTGAAGCTCAACAACTTGATAATTTAAAGAATTCTCTTTGCAATGAGATATTTAACAAATTCAAGGAGAGAGATTGCCGGACGTCTCATGAAATTCGGAAATAATGAATAACGCAAGTCACGCGACTACACGTGTAAAGCCTATCACACAATAGGAAAGCACAGGCAATAGGAACAGAGAATAGAATTTCTGACGCGTTGGATTGGTTGGAAGAAAATTTCCGACGAATCCAACGCGTCAAAAATTCTATTCTCTATTCCTATTGCCTGTTGCCTGGCATTGTGTGATAGGCTTAACCGTGCATTTAACTTATCTGTGTTTTAACCTGTGTACACGAATGTAAAAAAATCTTCATTTACATAAATCCGCGAACACGAATATTCATGTATGTGACATACGTAAACGTGTAGCCGTGTATACCTCAATAGGGACATATCGAGGGGGAAACCGCTGAGGGCATTGCGGTGTCCAGATTTGCATTAACAGGCATTTTTTGGGCATTAGTTTGGCCACTAGGCCCTGCTGGGGCATTACAAAGATATGATAAGATAAAATAACATAAAACAAGGCAAATAAGATAACAAGATAAAGCGATGCCCGTCTGGGCATCAACGGGCATCGGTGGGCAAGATTTTGACTAGCGGTTTCCCCCTCGGGAAATGTTTCGAGAATTATGTGACGAAATCTGGATAAAACTTGGAATGCTGCAATTATGCATATGTCGAGCAACGTATGCAGAAGTAGAGATCTTTCATCCAATTTTGATAAGTATTTGCACACGTTTACGCGTCTCGCACATACATGGATATTCGAGTACACGTGAATCTTAAAACACGTGAATTGTAATTGTGCGCGATAATGTTTGTTGGAGGGTATTTATCGAAGCTGCTATTTTTTATTTCCAAATTTCCAGTCGATTATCAAATATATCTTTTTATATATTTACAATATTTAACTGGCGCATATGTTTATAATACAAGTGTTTTGAGTTGATTTGCGAAGTTGTGTTTAATTCAACAGGCACAGGTATGACGATACCTAACTGGGACTTCATGGGAAGCACAATGGTAACTAATAATTATATCAGGCTGACGCCTGATTTACAAAGTAAACACGGTGCCTTATGGAATTCTATGGCAAGTACTCTACTTGTATTTGAACACGTCTTGAACATAATATAGAAACTGCATATATGTATATGCATATCCGTTGTCCCCATATAATTAAGATATTTGAACTTTATACAGCCATGCCACATACGAAATTGGGAACTGCAGATTCAATTCAAAGTGCACGGAAAGGGGAAGGACCTGTTTGGAGATGGTTTCGCCATCTGGTATGCCAAGGAGAGAATGAAATCGGGTCCTGTATTTGGGAATCAGGACTATTTTCAGGGATTGGCAGTGATTCTTGACACGTACAGCAATCATAACGGCCAACACAGTGTACGTCGACAATGCAGTCTTATAAAATCTGATAGCTCAGTTTGGGCAGTCGGTTAAGGTCGCGTAACTTTGTTGTCAATTCAAGATCGAAGACGATCTCTTGATCCAACCGAAACTTGAGTATATTTGTGTCTTTATCTTTCTGTACATTTCCTTTTAACATTTACATTTACGAGCAGCATCAGCATCCTTACATCTCGGGAATGATCAACAATGGTTCTCTGCATTACGATCACGATCGCGACGGCACTCATACGCAGGTCGCGGGATGCGAAGCAAAGTTCAGAAACTTGGATCATGATACGTACATAGCTATACGATACGAGTACGATACCCTAACTGGTACGTGGAGATAATCGAGCGCTACAATACGTTATACTTTTCACGTTATAGCGTATATGATAAGATCCTTTGTTAAATCTCACATTTCCTTTTATATACTGTTTAATCATTATTCCGTACTTTGTCCTGTCACGTTAGATGAGTTACATTACTTTGTTTTCTTCCTTTTATCGTGTCAGCTTTATAATTATCTCTTTCTTGACTTGCAAATGTGTACGCGCACGTATATGTGCGTCACTGACTACCTTTCTTGTGTGTTCTTTTTTTTCTTACGCGATGAAGTCTCCACGGATCTTGCCAACAAAGCAGCATGGAAGCAATGTTTTCAAGTGTCCGGAGTTAAGCTTCCAACGGGCTATTATATTGGAATTTCTGCTACCACGGGTGATCTGTCTGACAATCATGATATACTGTCAATTCGTTTGTTTGAATTAGACTTACCAAATGACGTAAGCATTACAATTTATTCTTTTTCTCTATATTTCCATTATATTAAATACATATTACACGTGTGTAAAGCACACATCTCGTTGACCAACAGAGCTGTGAACTGTTTCATTATAGTAATCAAATTAGCGGTATTTACAAATGCATGTCAATTTACAGCCCAAGGATCAAGAAGATAGATCACAAATTGTGCCATCAGCAGCATTCTATGAGCAACCAAGAGGTACGCGGTTAAGAACGAATTGTCATTGTATATCAATTTATCATTCTAACATCAATCTCTTGCTTCAGAACGTATAGAAGATACGAAGCAGTCTAGCATGAGTGGAATAAAACTTTTCCTACTGATGTTGATTGGCGCGCTCGTGATAATAGCCTGTGTTGTCATTGCCATTATGCTATATCAGAAGCATCAAGAGAAAAGCAGAAAACGATTTTACTAAGTCAGGGTTTAGATAGGTTGTGTGTATGTGTGTGCGGGGTTTCAAGCGTTGCAGCTTACCGATTTCTCTTTTATCCAAGATTTCTTGTATACACACAAGATGTAAATCATGAAATGCTCATAAGACTGTCTTAGTTTGATTTCTGTTCCCAAATTTGATACAAATCTTTGTTTTTTGTATAAAAATAAGTCTTCGGGGTAAAGGAGGAGTGCGAGTGCGTGTGCGTATGCATGAGCGTGTGTGTTTGTGTACAAGTATTCTAATAGTTTCAATATTTGCAGAAAATGTTGCCCCGTTAGATTATAATTGTCACATTGATTGGACTCAATGTACATTTATTTGAGTTGATTATAGTCAGTAAAAATACATATTTATTGCAGTTCCTTTACCAAAGTTATTCCTTCTTGAAATGCCACATGGAATTTAACGAAATAAGTTTTTATATACTTGACTCATAACAAATACATAGGATGGGAAGATATTATAATGAATGTATTGTGACGTGTACATTGTTAACTTTAGGAGGGTCTTGGAAAAACTCGTATATTGTATGTATTAATTTCAAGCCAAATGTTCATATATACAAGATCTTTGTGGTAATATATATATATACTTTTTCCAGAACCTTTTTGTATATATAGGTTGGAAATTAATTCTAAACTCCAGTGATTTTAAATACTTAAGGCAATAATACATCACCGATAAAAGAGATATTTGTTTAAGGAGATAAAATGTAGAAATTTTTAATTTTTATTTATGTAATTTTCTTTTGCGCATTAGGTAATTATTTTCATATGCAGATACAGAAGAAACTTTATTAACATAGATTTTATATTTGTACATAAAGAAAAGTAATGTATTCGAAGCTCCCATATTGCATAAAGTTTGTGATGGAGTTTATTTGTAGAAATGCAACTCTAAACAGGCCATCGGCCATACAAATTATCCAGTTAGAACTGATATCGAACATCGCATGAAAGTATACGCAATGTGGGGGGTTCTACTGTATTTCAATATAAAATAACTATAAAATAACATAATAAAACTCTGTAATGTAATCATTTTATATGGAAACTAAGAAAAAAGGGAACCAAACCGTTTAATAAACAATTGTCTTGTTATCGAGATGATGTTATCATTCGAAACAATAATGTATCATGTTGCCAAATACATAATAAATATGTCTACAATTCTAAACGGAAGGAGGATTTTTGTTTTGCTTTTCAGCAGAAAGATACATACGGAAGTATTAGAACTGATTGTACAACGATATTGAAATGAGACAATATTTTGAATTTTATGCTGTATTTCTGAATACATATCATTCATGACAAAAATATATATTTGCACATCAGAATGCAAGAGCTCATCATGTTTTAACGCATTTAATTAATTTGTTTGCTTTGAAGAAGCAAATAGAGTACTTTTATTATCAACATTAAAATCATTCGAACGGAAAACACCAAGGCACATCTATGTCTTATCTCTTTACTATACTGTACTGGTCTTGGTTCCTATTGTCGTTGTGTGATACAATGACGAAATTGTCCTTATCTCTATAGATAGATATGCTTCTTAATAATTTATACATCTAAACACTTAATAATGAATTATTCGCATTGTACATATATTTTCAGTATTGTAAGCTGCATTTTATTCAGGTAACTGAATGTATCAAGTATATTCTAACCGAATATTAGTACTGCAAAATTTTGTTATGAAATGACATTTCACTTAACATAATAGCTTACTAAATCTAGGATTATTTACATTGGGTTGCATACTGCCTTGCTATTTAACTAATTAAAACTTTATCACGGTATAATGTATATACTATGAACCTAGTAAGACGTACAATTTTTACTACATATAATATTAAAACAAGATTGAAGAGATGTCTCCTATCATTCTCCAAAAACGGAATACAAAAATATCAAGCGTTTCTCTCTCTCTCTTTTCTTTTTACTGGCAGTAATGCTTAGGAAAATATATAAATCTTAAAATATATGTTATTTATAATACTCTGAAGCGGATTATGACTTATTCATGAAAGCCTATAACATAACTATTACTATACATGTATATTGCCTGAGGCATTCGGTAACATCGAAATATTTGCACTATTTTCTACTTTCATATCACGCACACATTTACATGTATGTCAAATATTGAAGGAACGCTGCTATATATACATAACAGTTTCTTGATTTAGTTTAGTTTAAACGGTATATAGCATGTTATCACGTATAACACGCTGTTTTGTACAGTACAATATATCTGCAACATTGTAGCGCAAAAAAGGTAGTTTATTATATTAATAATCAATTATCGCATTAAATTTCAAGTAAAACTCTATTAATAGATGTCTCATGCTGAAATATCTCTTAAGGCGTTTACAAGATCAATGTGTTATAGTTTACACTGAAAATGTATAGATACAAAACTTGTTTAAAATCGCATTCTCTTAATACAATTAACCAATGCGAATTAATCCAACGTTCTATTTTGCAAATTTTATTTTTTCAGAATCTAGCAAGTCTAATCATAGGAAGTTCAAGTTTCCTTTAAAATAAACTGTGTTAAACAAACTGTAATGACAATTGGATATAAAAATAATTTCGCTACATTATTTTTAGGTCTAAAAAAGGCTAGAGAGATCGAAAGGATTCAGTCATGTAGAATATCATCACTTGAACATCACAACCGGATTTAACAGAAAGTTCAATACAGTCTTTACGCTGAGACACAGATCTCGGATAACGGAGCGTAAACTTATACGATACCGAGAACGTTTGTAAGACGTTTTCAAATCGAGCGAGTTGCACGCGAGGCAGCCGACCTCTTCCAAATCGATGTGCGGCTCGGCGCCGCCGAGAAGAGATTCCGTTTCCAAGCCGTTATTGGTAAGCGCGCCGGAAAACCAAATCTTGTCGCCCGGATAAATATTCAGACTAAAATTGGTGAAAGAATGGTCCGCAACGAGACGTATCTCCGTGGTGCTTCCCCACATGCCGTTTTTCATCTTGACAAATATCTCAAACTCGTATCGATCCCACGCCGGAAAGTAACATTTGTTCCGCTTCTTCTTGATGCTCATGATGCGCCTGCAGTCATTTCTGCGATTATCATCGCCCGAGCTGCAATTTTCCTCGTACGGCTCCCCGTACATACAACTAAGTATCGTTCTAACGTTGTCGGGCAATTTGTTTACAATGACCGCGATGCTGTTCTTTATTGATTTTACTCGAATATTCGTCACGTAGCCGTCCCACGAGACGGGTATGCCCTCCAGCTGAGCGCATTGCACCTGCACCTGCGCTTTCGACGACATTTCTTCCCACGCAGGCTGATGACAGTAGTTCCGATACTGATCCCACGTTAATCTCATATTGGGAGCAATATCGTACGACGCCTCGTCGGGATTCTGGTTGTACTCCATTATCATCGGCCACGATAGGAATGTCGCGGCGCCAACGCCAAGGACAATCTACAGAAGACATTCGTATAAATTTATGTAAAAGTTAAGGAACAACACAGAGTTTAAGGCGGAGAAATGCGACGTTGTATACGTACTTGCACGAGCGTGATGATCCAATTGAATCTCGATGCTCTGGTCTTCCTCAGATACCACGAGGCGAAAAACGGCAGCCCTCCGAGCACGGTGGTGATTGCTATCCTCATGGCCAGATCATTTTCTGACAAATATTTGATAACGGCTACGATCGGTAGAATAACGGAAGCGATACCGGCGATTGGAAGAAACAGAACCATGCCAACTAACGCGAGGGCGCCTCTGATCAAGCCGTACCATGTGGCACCTTGAGAACTGAAGATCGCTATCTGCCACCAGCTCAGAGTGACGCAATGGGGTATCAGAGTACGATACGTGCCACGCCAGTTGTCCCTCGCGGCCATTTTCGCGAAGACCGCCGGTATCAGGAGGTAAAATACAACGCGGAAGTTGAGACAAAACTCTATGCCATTGCCGACAACGTAAGACGCGAATGTCGGCACCCTGATGTCCAGGAATCTCCAGCTCTGAGCCACGACCATGTCCGTCTCGTAAGGATACTTGGCGAGCACGTGCACGCCGAAGCTGAAGAGGGCCAGGAAATCGGGAAGCCGCGACGAGTTCCTCCGCATAAAGCTGCAGAGCGTGATGAGAGTGAGCGTGACTGCTATTATAGTGAATTCAGATTGCGGCGTCCACTGATGGGCTATCAGGGGATAGATCATCAGGTTCAGCAGCAGCGCGAGAAAGAAGTGCCCGTACGGCTTGAGGTTGTTGCGGCAGAACTGATACTCCGCCTCCTCGGGGTTGAGATTTCCACCCGAGTAGCTGAGAAATAGGCCCGACCACACGCGGAAGTTGTTGAACTCGCGCTTTCGCTGGAGCATCTGGAAGGTGGCCACCACCATGACTACGAACGAGAGGTAGTAGAGGGCCATCGGTATAAAAAGTATTAGGCTCTCCGTGCCGAACAAGGAGTACAGCAAGAGCAACAGGAGAATGTGTAGTTTCGACGTAAAAAGGATCCGTCCGATCGACGTCCCTCTGTGGCCGAGGGTCTCGACCAACCAGCTGTAGAGACGTCTCAGCGACGCGAACGGATGAACGAACGGTCTCTGCAGCAACGGTATCGTGTCCAGCGCCAGCTCGGAGGGATCCACCATGCGGAGAGCGTGCGATACTATCGGGAGCATCCCGCGCGCGTAGCTCGCAGCCGCGGACACCAGAGCAGCCTCCGTGATCTTCTTACCATGGTCCGACCAACCTGCGATTACACGGCGAAGCGCACGTAAGTACCAAGAGCACGGTAAAAGAGCGAAAGAATAATCCGTAAGAAAGTAGTCTCACCATGAACGTCGCTCGTTCGGTCTTCGTCCTTCGCAGGCGGAGAGTCGTCGGGAAGACCATTTCTGGGGAAGCAATCGTTATCGTTGTCGCCCAGTCCCTTGTGCGACGAGTTGCCGGAGGTATTGTTCGATTGAAAACAATCGGCGTTGCTGGTCGACGGGGACGACAGGCTTCTCATGCGATTCTGCAGCTGCTCCGTAGTGATAAAGTCCTCGCCGTTCGACAAGCTGACAAAACAATTTCGTGTATACCGGCATGTGGAATACGTCTATCCGTTTAACTTTCTCTCTCTTTACCTCATAAACATCTCCCTCGCCGCTCTCCTAACCAGCTTCTCGTCCTGCGTCATGTCTAGGCAACTTTTCACGTCGTAATAGTTGTGCTCCGTGATACCGCGGCCAGTCTCCAGGCACTTCCGGAGAATATCAGTCGCCTCCAGATTTCCCTGCTCCGAGGCCTTTGTCAGCCAGTAAACGCCCAGCTTTGCGTTCTCCTCTTTATCAACGTCGAGCTCTTGAAACGTACGACACAAGTTACACACGGCATAATACGCGGCAGGGCGTAGCGTAGAGCGGAACAACGTGGGAGAAACTCCGAGTCGCCAAGCGTATTACTCCAGCTTACCACATTGTTCCTCTAACAACTGCTTAGCCAAAATTACTTGAGATTCCGGACAGCCGTCCTCCGCCAGTCGGGAACGTAACCGTCTAAGAGAACCCTTAGGCCCATCTATCAATAGGACTTAGAATTAGCTATTTAATCAGAAAAAAAGACTAATCAGAATTCACGTTTGTCAACATATACGTCATGTCGTAAACATAGATTCGCTTATTACTATAATTCGGGTATAATCACAGTCGTGAAAAGTGGACTTCGTTGGCGAATGTCCAACTCGTCAACGAAGGTGTTCACTTTTCGCGAGCTCGCGGTAGAGGAAAGGATTCACGATCGAGAGTCCCAGAACGTGGGAACAATTTTAGAACGAGGGATCGATCGGCGACTCATTTAATTCCGCGTGGCGACGCGACTTCCGAGGCTTCCGTCGCGCCCCGACAACTCGCACTCCTGGGTACCCGTCGTGGAAAGGTTCGAAATGGATTCCGATCCCCGGGAAGTAATCGGACAACTCCGTACATCTCCACGACAGGGCTGCGTTCGAAAACGTCGCCCGGACGCACCAGCGTAACATTTCGTTCGACGCTCGGCGAGCAACGGAGAAAATTGACAGCACTCGAGCAACCGAGTGACGTTTCCGAACGCGGCCCGGGTGTCCCGTGTCGGGAACGCGAGCGTCGAATGTCGCGCCGTTGACGTCGCGAGGTCACGTGCGCGCCTCGAGAGCCGCGGGGAGCCGATCGCACGCCGGGCGGTCTCCCCCTCCCCCGCGGCCCTCGCTCGCCCGGGATCGCCCCCGGAGTCGCGGGCCCGAGGCGATGATTACCGTGCAGCGTCCACTGTTTTCTGCCGGATCTACCAGACAGCGGTACGATACCAGCCATGACTCACGGTCGGGGCGCGGAGGACGCGGATACACTCCGTCCGACTCGCCCGCTCGCGGGCGCGCGCCGAGGCTTCTCTCCTCCGCGCGGCCTGAACGCAACTCTTCGCCGCCACGTAGTAAGCCCGGGGATCCCGACGAACGCACGAACACGCACGCACGCACGTCGTCGCGCGGCTCCGCCGTGTGCGAGGCTTCGGCAATCGGCCGCCCCGCTACGCTCCTGTTGAATAGGCTGGCAGGCGTGGACGCGCGGCGCATGCGCGCGCGCGCGGAGTCCCTGCGCTCCGTACCCGGCGTCAGGTCGGGCTAGATCGGGTACGTAAACAAAGGAGACGCTCGCGCGCGCGCTCCGAAATTTGAATCCCCCGCGCCCCACGCGTCGCAGCTGCCCGACTGGCGCGGGCGAGAGGTTAGTTCCCGTTTAGTCATCGACCCGCGAGATGACGAGATCTCGAGCGAGGGATCTTTCCTCGCTCCGTCGCACTCTCCACGGATCCCCGAGATCCCCCCGTCTCGCTCTCGCTCCGAATTCCCGCCTCGCTGACGCGTCGCAGCCGATTCGCCTTTCCGGTTTCCCTTTTCTGAGCGTCGACTCTGATGACCGCGAACGATAAGTGACTTTTAATTCGCCGAGTAATATTTGTCTTCTGAGTAAGCTGAGTCGCTTATACTCGCTTCCCCCTCGGGTCCGATAAGAACGGGACGCGGATTTATTTCCTCGGCGAGAACTCGCGTGTTGCTGGGGATGGTAATCGAATTCTGAATGCCCGGTGTGAGGGCGAGTACTAAAAGGCACGGTGGTTCCGGGGTTACACGTTTATTTTCTCAATACAAACTTGCCTACGATTGTTATTATTACGTACAGTCTTGTATGTTACACAGTATTTCACGCAAAGTACGCTCGAGCAGCGATCCCTAGTAGCACAATATATTGGCGCAACATTGGGAAATGTGTAAGTCTAATATTCGCAACATTGGTCGCAATATTGAGATGGACGCCTCCTCTTATTCAGCCGGTGTGTCTACTTAGCAATATTGGCATAATATTGTATCAATATTAAAACAATGTTAGACCAACATTCACATTATATTGCCAACTATTGGCCAATGCATTTCCCATATAAATCTGTTATATAATTATTATTGTGCAACGTTTGCATTTATTTCGTGGCCAATATTGGCTTAACATTGAGAAATGGCCAATGTATTTTCAATATAACTAATATTGGACCAATATCCACATTATATTGCTACATATTAGCCACTTTGCATTTCCTATATAAATCTATGGTTGTATAATTATTATTGTGCAACGTTTGCATTTATTCCGTGGCCAATATTGGTTTTACATTGAGAAATACTGGCCAATGCATATAAATCTAACGTTATATAATTATTATTGTGCAACGTTTGCGTTTATTCCGTGGCTAATATTGGCTTTACATTGAGAAATACTAGCCAATGCATTTTCAATATAACTAATATTGGACTAATATTCGCATTGTATTACTAAATATTGACCAATGCATATAAATCTATCATTGTATAATTATTGTGCAATGTTTGCCTTTATTTCATGGCCAATATTGGCTTTACATTGGGAAATACTGGTCAATGTATTTTCAATATAACCAATATAGGGCCAATGTCTAGCCAATCCATTGTGCTACTAGGGATCTGATTCAGTGCATTGGCTAAACATTGGCCCAATACAAGCAAATACTGGGCCAATGTTTAACCAATGTTTGGTCAATGCACTGTACTACTAGAGATGTCTAGATATCTCGCAGATTTATTCAGGGCCGGGTTAGACGCGTGCAACCGGTGCGTCGCACGCGGTCCCGCGGTTTGATCGGTCCCGCTTTCCAAGTGACCGAGAGTTTGTTTTCTGTTCCTGCACTGGTGAACTAGTGCAGTAAGCTAGAATGAGAAAAAATATGCTTGTCTTACTCCAATTTATTGCACTAGTTCACTAGTGTAGGAACAGAAAACAAGCCTCGAATTTGTTCTTTGTTTGCACCCGGCTCCGCTTAGAACCGGATCTGGATTTATTTGATTGACGCGAGTATTCGTGTACGACGCTGCGCGCGAGGAACACTCCTCTATGTAATTTTACAATGTTTGCAACGCGCGTATATCTATTCTATCCGATCGGAAGATTCCGAAAAATTTCTTAAATGCAAATCGGCCTGCCGAGAAGGGGACCGCCGAGCAAGCGCTGATATATTGCTCGGAAAGCGTGACGCAATGCGTGTTTATGGTTACCGACAATAAATGACGTGCGTATTTGATGTGATTCAAGTTGCAAATTTCGGAGCCGGTTTCGATGAGTCTGCAATATACACGACGCGCACCTTCCTCCGGCACGTGTCGAGGCCTGAGAGCCACCCGCGAACTATATTTCACTTAGCAGAACCAGGTTTTCGCGGGCTGCTCGTATAGTCAGAAATCGGCGCGTAGACCGGCGCTGCAAAACAAAAGGGAAATAAACACGTGACACGGCGGATTGTGAAGCTAGAAACGCACGAAGAAACTCAAGCCTGATCTACAATGTGCTCTTCGCGTCTAGAAACATTCCAGTTTACAGAAAAGCAAATCAAAACGTTTACAAAATTTATGGACAAAGTCGTACGATTGTGCAATTTATCAACTTGCACAAGTTTGTTAAATACATTTATTGGCTACAAAACAGAATGTTTCTAGACGCAAAGAGCACATTGTAGATTAGGGCCTTAGCGGAAAGACAAAGTTTTCTATATTAAGTCTTTATTTTGTCGTGTGTTTCTAGGTTGAATATGAGACGGTCGTGCGAAAAAGCCGCAACTACTCGACGGTACTTACAAGTTACTCGGCCCGACGTAAGGCGGCGGATTTGGACGAACGTACGGGTTGGAGCGTTCACCGGAGGTCCTGGAAGGTATTGGAAAATTTAATATTCGTCATGTCAAAGCACCGCTTGGTTCACGGAGATGTGTGCAAATATCAGATTGAGGATTGCGAAGTGGAAATTACCATTCGACCAATCGAGACGGAACGGATTAAGATGTTAACTTATCAAAATCTTACTCTTCAATTTGCAATTCTCAATCTTCAGTGCGTAATCTGATGTAGGCTTAAAGCCCGTATCAGATTATGGATTGAGATTGAGATTAGACTGAAATTTGACCAATTAGAGTAAAAATCATTGAACTTGAGATTAGTAAACTCTGATTGGTCAACTTTCAATCTAATCTCAATCTCAATCCGTAGTCTAATAAACTTCAGAGACATCATGAACGAACAAAGGCTCTGTTAACTTCTTAAGCGCTCTGGACTCTTTGAATGTCTACCCCGAGTTCTTGGACAATGCCTTTTAGATTCTCCAAACTTCTCCCGAAACTTTGTCTTCATTAAATGTAACAATTTGGAGCACTCGAGCAAATTAAAGCTCTCTATCTAATCTTCTACGTTTTGAAATTGCTGCGCTCTTACGTAATTAAATGGCTATAAAGAGTGAAGAAAAATTCATCCGTCTTGGCGCGAGTGCCTCTTTACGGCTTCCACGTAATAGATTCGCAATGCGATTGCATTGAGGTGCATTTTACTGGAAGCAATTACAGCGCCTGCACAGTAGTGCGGTACGTGCGTTCGTTTTGATTAATGAATCTGCCTGCGAGTTACGCGTACGCGCGGCGCGTTCTCTTCCTGAGAAACGATGTCGCGCTGTGCCTTCGGCTACGCCAGAAGTAGCTACGTAATAGACGAGATAATCTGTCGTGATTTTTTTTTCTTCACTTCTTATCCGAGGCAGCATCTTTCGAGAAAGAAGTTCCGGCGTGGGAGGCGGATGACTTTAATATTCATCGAATATTGCTCGCGCTTGTAGATTTTTCTAGAAATCGAAACCGGAATGGCCGGCGTTAAAGCCGTAAAAGACGTACGACGGTGGGCTCCCCGTAATTTCATCCAGATGGGGAATCCTCGACGAATTTGCGTCTAACGAGATAATCTGCAACCAGCGAACTCCGTACTACGCCGGAAAAAAAAGTGTTTGCTACCGTAGCTAATCATGGTTTGCTAAACCTAGTTTGCTGCCATAACTACAAATTTCTAAACCACAGCAAACGGTTTGCTGTCGCACCTAATAGAATAGGCACGGTAGCAAAATATTGAGCTACCGCAACTAAATATTAGCTGTCCATATTTTGCAACCGAGGTGCCACATGCAGCTTTTAACTACGGCACCTACATTTATCTTTCCGTGTATACTGAAGACCTGCTACCCTCTGGAGGAAGATGGACAGGGTGAGACGGACAATGGTCCCCACTGTGTCTCTTTTTATGTCACGATTTCTATCTCACTGATACAAAATATGATAGAAAATCGATGACCAATCAGGATTACTAGAAAGAGACAGAATGGGAACCATTTGTCTGACTCTTGCCCGTTTCTGCAGACTAACTTGAATTCCGGTCTACATTACTTCTTACTCTAATTTGTGAAACTAGAAGAAGATATAAAGTTGAACCGAGATTAAAGTTAAACTGCGTTGGCAGAAACGAGCATCTGCCCATCTTCTTCAAGAGGGCAGTGGGTCTTCCAGTATAACATAGAGTTGATTGTCTGCAGCCTGACATCTCTTTCCGTGTCCAAGGCTTAAAGCTCGTCGAGGTCCTGTTTGCCAAAGGCAAAGGCTAATTTCTACCTTGGACTTCGCGACAGAGAGTCGTTCGGGCTCGACGGCTGAGCTGACAGGGATTTCAGAGTGCCTCTCTCCGACATGGCGTACTGCACCATTTGTATCCCGTTGTTCCCGACTCCTTCCCCCGGCGTAGGCTCCCGCTTCTCGCTGGAAAAACAGGAATGTCTCGCTGCGTTAAAGCGGCTATTTAAATTCGGCGGGACATCGATTACTCGCGGCCCGGATCTCGCGTACGCGATGACGCAACAAAGCCGAAGAGGTCTAGAAGCGTGAATAAAATTATAGAATCCGGCTTCGAGCCGGCGCCAGCCGTTATTTCGCCGTCGCCAGTTATCGTGCGACGAACGTGAGTTCATTAATCATTATTTGCAAAGTTTTAAGAAGCGTTTATCAAATCTAGCGTCGCTACGTTTAAATATAGGTACGTCAAGTATTTCGTAACATGCAGGCACGTTAAATTAGAGAAGCTTAGAAAAAAAAGTGAAATTAATCGAAAACAAATTTCAACCGAATTAATTCAACTTGTTACATTCAGCTCGATAATTTCTTTCAATTCGCGGCGTACTACGGCAAAACGTAAGATTAGCGATGCTTTAGTAACGTCGCGTCACTTTGCGGAAATTAGTATTTACTAAAAACTTGAGCGACTATTTGCACAACGACGGAGCGAACATACCTGCCGGGTTGTTCTCTCAAAAGGAAAATATTAAAGAGCTGGTCGAAATATTCATCCGACTCCGGATCCGTCCTAGGAAAATAAAATATAAGTGTCTACGCTTTTTCGCCGCGGGAGTGCCTTGAGATAGCGACCGATCAGTTAATATCGCTAATGCAAACCTCGTCCGGTCGGTTTAACATTGCCGCGTGCGTCAATCATAAATTACATCATAATAACATCCATAAATTAAGCTATGTATTCTAAAAACAAAAATCGATTCTCACAATGAGACTCCCGGCGATGCCATTTTCCCGCAACGGCTGGTACTTTAATTACCATTTACGTCAGAACACAATAGTCGCGAGCCTCGGTGCCGCGAGCATGCGGGAGGCATAGTGAAAAGCGAAGGAGACCCGTATAAGCATTTACCGAACTTTGCCAGAACAGGCATCCGCCGTTCGTCTGTTATTAACGCAATGTTAAATTAAATCCTATTTCTTTCAACCGACCGTGGCGAATGTTCCAGTCATTCTTACAACCGACGATAAAGATATCGGCGATGAAATATCATTCCCTTCCCCACGATGTTACCTTTTGTCTGAAACATTTGGTTGAATATCTGCCAACTCTCGGGCGTTCTCTAACGCGATGTGAAGCGGAATTTCGATACAATTGACGCGAGATCGGTGAAACTTGAAATAAACGCTCGAACAAGGAAATTTTCCTCGTGACGTGCGATCGAATTCTAACTGACGTACGTATGTTTGTCATTGAATAAAAAGCCGACAGGGTTCAAAACCGAAGAGATCTGGTAAAATCCGTTCGTCGTGTACGATTCCGGCGAAAACCGGACTCCGTTACGCGACGGTTCCGCTCGAGTCGTATACTCCGACGAATAGATCCTCCGTGGGTTCCTCTCTGTCCCCGTTCGCGTAACCGCCAGAACTTTAAAATGAGTCATATCGCGCCGGTGACGCGCGAATCCTGTTCCTGTTTGCGCAGCGCGCCCGCGTTATCAATACCACGCGATTACCTTGATCACGGTTTGTCGGGTCCCCGCGTCGGGGAACGCGAGCGATTCGACAAAGGAAAATGAAAAAGGAAGGGAATAAAAATGCGGAAATGCACGGCGAACGTGCGTATCGATCGTGACTCGAAACTCGTATCCCGCCTCGATTGCCCGCACGCGAAATGCACGCGGTCGCGTCAGCGTTGCGTCAACCGTCACGTGTGGCACGACGTAATTGACTCGTTATCGCGACGCCGTCGATGAAAATTGTCGTTGCCCCACGGACGCACTCCGAGACAACGCACGCACTCGAGTGCGTGCGTGCGGGCGCGCTCCGGATCGCAGGATCTCTCCGCGAGTTCCCCGGCGAGAGGCCGGCCGCGCCAGTGGACCCTGTACTATCCCTTGGGAAATTTACCTTGAATGAAATTAAAGTTTTTAAAAGTAATCTTTCATAAATCTAAGAGTCTACTTAAAGAAGTTGAAAGTTCACTTAAGAAATTTTAGAGTAATTTTGGACACTTAAAGTAATTTTTAATTTCAATAAATCTATTCAATTTTGATTTACTTGTACTGAAACATCTGCCAGATTTGAAGAAATAGAATTCTCTTAGAAATTTCAGTCTCGAGCAAATACAACCTTGATTAAGGTAAAGAAATGATTTTTATTATTTAAATAAAAGTCCGCGTCAGTGTGAACTCTACGCTATCCCTTGGAAAAATTTATCTTAAATGAAATTAAAGTTTTTAAAAGTAATCTACCATAAATCTAAGAGTTTACTTAAAGAAGTTAAAAGAGCTCACTTAAGAAATTTTAGAGTAATTTTGGACACGTAAAGTAATTTGAATAAATCTATTAAATTTTGATTTACTTCTACTGAAACATCTGCTAGATTTGAGAAGAAATAGAAATAGAATTCTCTTAGAAATTTCAGTCTCGAGCAAATAAAATTTTGATTAAGGTAAAACATAATTTTTTTAAATTAAATAAAAGTCTAGTAAGATCCAAATTCAAACAAACTGTTTTCCGTGCGTAGGTACCTAGTACAGTAATAGAGTTCATCGGGCCGCGCCGATCGCAATGCATCGTCGTGCGAACACAATCCGTGCGGGGCAAGCGATTAAAAGCCGCTAACGAAGTACCGCGCCGCATTCCGCCTAATCGCACGTCGCGATAATGCGCTTCTAATTATGACCGTGTACCAAGTCGGTGGAAGCGCGACCTCGGCGGAATTATTGCATCTGCACTTGACAGTAAAATCGTAAGATGTCTTGCGCGAGTATCGCGTTACGATTAATGTTTACGTGCGGCAAACGCTAACGTTTACGTTTCGTAATTGTTACGTACCGGATGTACGGCAATGGACTTATTACACTTGACGAGCAGAACGATTATAGGTTCACGTTTATTTTCCCAACGCTCGTAACTCGCATGCTGATGTGAGCTGTTTATAAATCACCTCCACGATTTTACTGCTCCCCGTCGCAAAAAATATTGACGTTAGACGATTAGATTAGGTGCGATTTCGTGTGCCGTTTAAATGCGCATTATCATTGGGATGGTTCAAGAGGTTCTGTTAAATATTTACGATAAGTACATTGACGTAAACCGCCTAATTATAATAGATTAGCCGGTTTTATCAAAAGTGACGAGTTGCATGCTGCGTGCCAAGGTAAAAGCGTCCCGCAAAGTGGCCGATACGCGGACGAAGAGACGCTCGCCAAGGAGACACGTGTACCAGATTAGATCGATCTTCTTGAGTCACGTGGCAGAATTGAGAAGAGATTCTCATTTCTTTTCACTTGTACAACCGCGGGCGAGTTGGGCGATACATTTTTTCTCCTGGCAATTTTGCACGCATCTTATACGCAGATATAAAAATACGGACATCTCTAGTTAGACCACGTTTTCATAAGTGCATAGAAAAGCCTGTAGATTTTATGGCAGCACTTATGCGGCAACTTTGTAAAGTGGCTTTTGTAAGCATCATTTCCGGGCACTTCACGCCTTTTACAGCGGCACAGTGAAGCCGGGCCATGCCGCTTTTGTGGCCAATTGGAGCGTTCAACTGGAGGCAGCGTTATGTCATTTTGCGAACTTGTAGGTATTATTAGAAATTCCCGCCCTATTGCACATCTTTTATTGAACACATACCGGGGGACAGGGGGTCTAGTGTATAAAATAAAATAGTATCCCAAGCATAAGTGCGTGCAAAAAGTGTTGAACACGCTGAGAAACGTATCGATTTTTAAGGCTCTTTAAATATCTTCCAAGGAGACAGCATTCTCGGAGCGGCACATTAAATAATCGTCGTGAAATTTTCGCACCTTCTTGTCGCGCAATTATTCCTTCTCACAATTGGACACGTTTCGTCCGAACGAACCTTCAACAATTCATTTATCGCCGAAAGAATATTATCATTTGCTTTTTGCTCGAGAGGTGCCGTTGGTCACACCTGAAACCGTCCGTTTAACAAAAGTAAAACGGAATTCTTTCTTCTTACATAAGTATACATAAATTCACGAAATGACGTAGCGTCGTTTAAGCGGTGACACAATGATCGTTGCTCGGCGCATCGCGATTGCGGACGAGCGAAAGAGCGGCGCGATAAGAGTGGGAAATTTTAGTAGACGCGCGACCAGACGCCAGTTCAAGAATACAAAAACTCCACCGATGTTTACATCGATCGGAATGTGAAATTAGCGATCGTTGCGTGATCGCCGTTCGGCGATCGGAAATCAACGTCGATCGGCGCAGACACATCAATCTATTTCCGCGCGAGCGATTCCGCCGGTCGCCGATAAGCGATTCTATTGCGTCACTCCGATCTCGATCACGTCACGCACCATCTGACTATTGATCGTAAGGCGCCGATCACTCGCGGTCACTTACCCGTTTCTCATGCATGCACGCACGCACGTACGCACGCGTGCACGCACGCACGCCACGCGCCAGTGACAGATGTGTACACACGGCTACAAGATACCAAATTGTATGTGCCAAAATGGTAATTGTGTATGGCGAACGCGAGTGAAAGAGAGAGAAGGACCGAATTCATCACGTCGATCGATCGATGCCTGTCTTTTCTTTCTTTCTTCTATCGTTCTTTATTGTTCTGCCATTTCGTGAATTTACACAGTAAGAAAATTTGTGTTTTCTTGTTAAAGAAATACCGGTTAAAATTTTTGTGTTAAATGTTTACCACATTCGTGTGTTAATTTAAAATATTGCTCTTGTGTTAATTGGTCTCTCAAATTTAAAATTATTAAAATACTGAAAAGAAATGTTAAAACAACGCGTACAAGTACACACAATGTGTACTTATTTTTTAATCTTACACAATACATATGTTCTATATTATTAGTAACAAAATTTATCTGTCTAACCAACAATGTCTGATATTAAGAGATAAATTCTCTCGATAATACGAATTCTTATAAGTTCGTCCGAAGAACCGTCCAATTGTGAAAAGAAATAATTACTCGGCAGGAAAATGTGAAAGCCAATTATTCGATATAATAAACAAATACGTCGATATTATTTTTCAACGTATCGTAGCATGATTCCACATATCGATCAATCGATGCTTTCGATGCCAATGAGAAACAGTCACTGCGATCTCGAGAATATTTAGAAATTATTGGCAGGATATAACAGATACATGTTTCAACAGTGGCTTGAAAGTTGGAACAATTGATAATGGCTGGGATACAAAGTGCGTGAATTTTCGCAAAAACCTCGCACAAAAAATTATGAACGGCATGACAAACCGTTCTGCAATTATCTGCATTGTTAGTTTAATCGCCATTAATCATCCCGAAATAGCTTGACGTTCGACAAGCTAAAATAGTCGTATTTTGTTTTACCAGCTAAATACGCGTGCGTGCAAGTTAAACGTGACGCACATAGAGTTCATAATAAGATCATAATTAGATCAGTTACATCACGTGTACAGGAATCTCGATCCTATGTCTATAATCTGCCTGGAATTGGCTGTTTGTGTCACGTATGCAAATTACATTATCCCGATGACTATGTAATTGCAATACTTTTTACCGCGTGCCTCTCGAGAGATAGTGTCCGCCTACTTGGCGACTCATCAACCGACCCTGAACGTTCGTTTTTACCGCCTTGAGCCGCGAGGAAAGGAAACTGGAACGTGATAATGCATACGGCAAAATACGGCTTAATCTGGCAAAAATGTTGGGGAGGCTGCACGTATAAGCTTCGTCTATCTTTGTCCGATTCAAAATCGGTTTTCTCACGGCGAAAAATTGATCGCCCGTCATTCTTCCAAATCTTTCAGCATAAAATGTTTCCTCAACAAGAATTTGCTTCGAATTTGTCGTCGGAATGTTCTTCGATAATGGTCGGCCACTTTGTGGTGTTTTCGGTATAAAACTGTGTTTTCGATAATAGCCGGTTGCTCTTCATTTGTTATAATTTGGTAATTACAGCGTACTTGCTAGCTTACTAGCGTAATTGCATATGCCATAAATTGAAATACTTCCGTTCACGTTCACTGAAGTCAACGCTTTTATTCTCGCGTGGATTTCTGGTTCTTGTTCTGGTTTATCGTGAACGTCACTTTATCACACGTGTCTCTGAGCGGCTTTTATCCTTTTCCTTTGCCAATGCGACATATCTCACTTCATTTTGTTTCATCACATTTGCGTATTGACGGCAAAAAAGCTACGACGTATCGGCTTGTTTTTAACGTGCAACATTTTAATTACAAGTTAATGATATATTATTTCTGATTACTTTTGCATTTATTTGCTGACATTTTGTGCCATTCTTACGTCCATTAACAGAGGTAAAATAATAATTTTACTTCTGTTGAGCCTCAAAGTAACCAAACATTCGCGTCAATTTTACTTGGCCCGCAGAAAGACTCCGACTTGCATATTTTCCTCCCGTGCACTCTCAGCCACGGCATAGAATCTCTTGTGCAATTTTTTTTGTGCGCATCGTCAATGTGTGAAAAAAGTTTAATGTCAATTAAAGATAAAAAAAGTATATGCAAAACAGAAACGCTGCATTCCGGTTCTAATCCAAAGCAGACGTGTGCGGATCAAGTTGTTGAAATTAATTTTTCTGGTATGCAAACGATGATCGCTCGAAAGCAACTGGTTTTCCTCCCGCGAGGTGTAACGTTTAGCGCTTACATTTTCTCGTGATGCAGACAGAAAGCGGTGCTGAGTAAGGCTCCCAGCACGAGGAGCAGCACGACCGGCACGAAAATCGTGGTGGCGATTTCCTTGAAGTAGCTTCTCGTTGGTATGCTGGCCTTCGTCGAACGGGCCCACCGCCACTCCGTGTGCTCGGAGATGCCCGACGAGGGTAGACCCACGACGTTCGCGCTGGGGCCCCTCCGTGCGCTCTCGTGCTGTAGACTCTGCTGATCTTCCTCCAGCTGCGAAAACGACACCTTTACCGTAACTGACGAGAGAGGATGATGACAGAGAACGAGCCGCAAACGCTTAGGACTGTCTTAGTCGTAGACGTAATCTTAGTAGCACGGTCCATTGTCGATCGACGAGTCATTTCTGACTGGGTAGCGCGTGATCTACGCGGTTGGCATTTTGCGTGAAATTGCGTAAATTGTGGCAGTCGCTTGATTGACATGAGACTGCGGATCTAGCCGCGTTCCGTAACTTAAAGACGATCCTGATGACTGACAATATCTAACAAATATGCGATGACGACACGATCGTGTGAAGTATACAATGACGTGTCTATAAATCTGCGTAGTCGAAGAAGGTAAATTACTATATTGACGACATGATAGCGTTGACGTTGATAATGTAATTCACGCATGCAATTGCATTTGCATAATTTTGTGAAAGACGAATAACGCGAGCGAGTGCGTTTTAAGTGGTAAAGTGGGCAGTTAATTTTCACGCCGAAGACATATGGAGGAGACTCCGCTCGGGCATGTAGCATTAATCACGGTAAATGAGCTTCCGCGCGTAGCACAGCGCGGTTTAATCAACCGCAGCTTACCAATCTAAAGGAACACCAATCCAATCTGAACTCGGCCTCTCGGAAGAGTATTTCTACGCTGGTCCTCTTGAAGTCTCTGGGGCACGACGGCATTTTCCACAGCGGCTTCACTTCCTCCTGCAATTCATTTAATTCCTGCGAGAACGGCACCGTGCTGCCCAGCCTCACGACGACTCTGAAATAGAACGATACTGCTTTTTGATAATGAAAAATGTGTCAGAGGAGTATAATTTTCAACGAGACATATAAAATAGAAATGTGCCAACTATTCGAATACGAATCGAATCGAGTAAAATTCGGTTCAATTTGAATTTCTTTACTTCGAATCTCAATTATTCGAAAATTTCCAATTTAAGGCCGGTATTTATAGTCGGATCTTATATTCCAGACCGTCTTGAATTTATCTAAAGATACTGTACGGAACATTTCATTGGCCACGGAGTATCTAAGGATGATCTTGAGGCAGTCTTGAATATAAGATCTGACTATGAATACTGGCCTAAATGACTCGACTACGAATATCATATATATTGCGAGTAACAATAGAATGTGATTGATTCTTACTTTTGAATTCAAATCAAAGAGGATTGACAGTAAAATATTATTTCATTCTAATTACCGTTTATGTAATTGATTAATGTTATTGGATACTCTCTAATTAATATAATTTATCTGTGATTTTTTTGCCTAGCTGTTTTAGTTATTGTAACATTAAATAAGGTGCGTGTTATTAGTTTTATATTTAAATAACAAAATCAATATTATATGTTATTGCGAACAATATTACCTACAGCCCCAGTGGTCGAGCTGGTTAAGACGCCCGCACGGATTGAGGGAGGTCCCAGGTTCGAATCCTGGTTGGGGTAATATTTTTCGCAATAAGAATTTTAATTGCCAGATACGGTCAATAAAAATCATTGATGTTGTTAATTACTGCTGGCGACTTTTAAGAGTATTCTTAATAGTTTATTATACACCATTGACCTCAAAACATGGTGTTCCTCCGTAATAGGGGGAAAATGGATCGGGGGGTGGGCAGGGGAAAGAGAATTTTTAAAAAATCGCGTTTCGACAGTTCAGTGTATGGTCGAC